CGAAGAGATGACTTGGCCATAGGCGGGATATCTCCCACCGTTCGAAATATAAGTCAACGCCCCGAAGTTTTGATATGTTTGGGCAGCTTCTGGAGAGGCAAGCGCGGCAGACAATCGTGAAGATGCGTTAGGATTGGCGTAAATCGCACCCCAGTAGTGACCCTTGCAGACGGCTTCTCGAATGTTGTTTGCAGTGGGATAATCGGTCGATGAATGTTCAATGATAGTTGGAAAGCTGGGGCTTGCTAGCTGGGAATAAGCAGCTTTGACTGACCGTCCAACGACGCCGTCGTCGTAGTCCACGAGAAGGATTTTCAAGGCCTTCATCCGATGCGTGTCATTGAAGGCAGTGCCGTATAGATAGCTCATATTCACAAGGAACAAGAGCTGGATGAGGACAAATGAGCCTCCCACAGCGCCCAAGAAGGGTTTTTGTATTTGCATATTGAAGGTGCACAGGGGAGAAGTTCCTGTGTTCAAGTTGGAATGTGAAATGATAGGTTTACCCTTACAAGGACGAAGGCGAGGGTGCTGATTTATGATTATTATTGTGAGAGAAGGAACATTTTAGGAAACAATAGTGTCTTTTATCTGGACAGGACATGCCGGTGGAGTCGGGTCATGGTCTGTAAAGGAGTATACAATCTAGCCGTATGAATTAGACTACTGTAATATAAGATCCACTGCGGCGACTGTCCACGGGTAGATTTTCGGATACCCGCTTCCGCTTACGCAGCGGAAGTATTTCGGGTTGCCGACAACAATAGTTATGTTTTTACCTCGAACGCTGGAACTTTTGGTTGGGGAGTGGGTTGCCTAATTTATTTCCTAACTCTGTATAAAAATCAAAAGTTGTTCATATATCTTGCTGATATCTCACCACTTGGGGGCCCTCATAGCAGAAATCGTTTCGTCCAACAGTTTTCCCTCGACTGGGACGGGATATTTCCCACCCGCGACATCTTGATACGCCCCCAACCGGTCTCAATCCACTGGGCCTGCTTTGCGTTACCCAGGTCTGAGGTCCCTATGACGACAGAGGGCGCATCGGACAGGGAGCCATTTGACTGGCCTAGAATAACAGAAAATACCCACAAAATTATGCAGCTTGGTACAAAAGTACTGGTGCGGAGTAATGCGTGCAACAAGAAGGGTTTCAAAGTTTGCCGTATACACCATAGCTTGGCGCGTCTTCTGGGGTCGGAACTAAATTCCCTTTCTAGTCAGCTCGAGTCAGGATTGCTGTTCGCTTGTATTTGACTTTCAAGACGGTCGACAACAGAGGCATTTTCGGTAGGCTATTCATCATTGACGCGGAGAGCATAATGATCCAATGAGAACCTAGAGCCTCCAGTTCGTTCATAGGAAGAACTTGCCCTTGGTGATATGTCATTGGAAGGATTTTTCGTAGTATCGGTAGCTACCGTACAATTAACGACCGAGAAAACGGGGGAATCGTACTATGACTGGCGCGGTGCTCTTCAATGGTATTAAGGAGTTGCTGCAAGATAGCGCTTTTATTCCACATTGCGGTACAGCTTGTATCGGATACCAGTTGAAGCAGAGTCGGCAGGCACTTGCTTGCTATTGGCCTGTTATGAATCATAGAGAAATCAGTCGGATTTCATTTACCAACGCGAGCTGGAAAGCCAGCCCAAGCTTGTGTGTTAGATGCCGCACACGGTTTTTCCTCTTGAGGCAAGGAATTCTGCATTTTTTCATGGACTCTCATCACAGGGTTAGGTCAAAGTTGGTTTGAAGAGCCACATCCATCATTTTGGAACTAATGTTAGAACAAAAAGGACTACCAACATTTGAAGTCCAACGTTATCCATGCTTGATGCTTTTGAAGAACTTGATTGATCCATAGTGTTTTTGAATCAAAAGCGGGCTCAAAGTAGTGTAAAAATAGTTGAAAGATAAAGAGAAATAATGGAAACGAAGAAGAGAAAATGCTCGGGAAGCTTTGTGCGAATTCGGGGTTCCCTTTTTCGGTGCTTTCTAGGTTTGGAGGTGTCCGGGGGGTTGTTTGTATCGGTGGCCTTTAACCGGAGTTCGGCTTAGCTCCGGGTGTCCCTCACGATCTATGTTATTGCACTGTGTTTCTTCTACACACTATACCCTTTATTGCACTATACCATCCACTACACTGTGCTCTTCGTTACACGGAGCCCAGTGGCTGTTTTATTCATTTTCATACTACAATGACAACTATGATATCAGCTCTAACATTCCCATGAGAAAAGCTAACGTAGTATCTACTCCTTCGCCAGAGCTTGATTAACCATTTGCTCCAACTTATTCATCTCAGCACCAAGAGCAGCCCGAGACTTAGTAGGGTCAATACCATTGGCCTTGAACTCATTGTGAACCTGAACAAATTGAGTCCCCACTAACTTTCTGAAGCTAGGCACAGTACAACTCTCCAACTGAGTGCTCGTAAGCTCCGCAAGGATATACCATATCAAGAAGTGGAAGTTCAGTCGGAAATCCTGCACTTGGACAGGATCTTTAGGGTTAGGTGTGAACCCTTCCTGGGAGAGGAAAACAGTGAGCCTGACCAGACTCCATGCGTGAATGTGCCGGATCGGATGGGCCTTATCATAGACAACAGGGTCTATCTTTAGGTACCGTATGGCAGAGTGGATGAAGGCCCGGGTAAAGTTACCAGCGGACAGGAGGGAGACGATGAGCTTGTCGCGGAGGGATGCATAGGGCTGGCGGGTGAGAGGCCAGTTGGCAGTTTTGTGAAGGGTGTGCATAGCAGCTTCCAATTGCTCGATTGTGACTGCGGCTTCTGTACTGGATGCGGTGGCAGTTTGCATGAGCTGGAGGGCTTCTCGCTCGGCAGTCTCTAGGGGGGTCATGTCTTCGGGTGTGGAAATGAATCGGTCTTCGAGTGTGTCTGTGCCAAGGGCACATTTGGTGCATTGGCAATCGAAAAAGTATCGTTCTTTTAATTCGTTGCGGCGGATATCGTATGGTGTTGTGGTGTCAATGTATGAAATGAAGATTTGCTCGTCTTTCTCAATAGGCCGCATGGCTTTGACGTAGAGTTCTTCGCCATCAAATCCAACTGTGGCGTTGTAGTCACAGCTGTGGTTGATCAGGCCGGCATATGGGTGCATGTATAGACCGATACGGTCGTACATGGAGGTGGTGAGGTTGAAAGAATTGAGATCCAGCTATAAAAATGGATCAGCATGGAATCAATAAGAAGGGCATGTTGGAATGTATTACCTTGGCAGCGTAGGTAGAAACAGTTGCTTCATCCACATCTGTCCCGGAGTAATTCTTCACAGCTCTCGCAGTCAAAGTGATTCTATCCAGCTGACCCTGGCTCTCCTGGATCTCATTGATATGAGTCTCCAGATCGTCAAAGGCCTTGGTCTCCTCAGCACTGTACTTATTCTTTGAAGTGCGCAGCACCATACGTAGCAGAGCACGAGCATTGTTGGGCAGAATCATGGGCTTGAGATTCTTGAAAATAGGACATTCAAGAGAATGAGCAAACTTCCAATCCTTGGATTGACAGGCCTGATCCAAATCCGTTAGCAAATTTAATGATATTTTATCCCAACTCAAACAAGAAGTTTAAACAGCAAAGAAACTGCAATATTCCAAATCCCGGATAACAAACGAGGAACTCACCCTATCACAGTACTTAACTACCCGACACCCAGTACAAGCCTTCAATTCATTTCCAGTATCCATCTGTCTCTTGCCAAAGCAGCCCGCACATGTATCCTCCAGTCGTGGCGAGTCAAGAATAGCTACAAATGGCGTTTTGATGTGTAATACATCTTCACCGGGTTTGATGTCAGTTGTTGCAAATAGGCCGTTTCCCATGCCATTAGGGGCTGGGCGGGGAACAGTCCTAGTTTCCACCGAGGGTAAAGAAACACGGGAAGTCATCTTTTGTGAATTCGATAAGTGCCAGGGGAATAGTTTGAAGATATAAGAATCAGAGATCGACGTCTGGGGATGGTTATTAGTCATCTTGTACGGAGGCCGAATTGGACCACCGCAACAATCTAAGTTATTTACAGTACTTCTAGAACAACAGGGAGCTTAGTAGCCTTAAAAATCGCCTTGTTTGCTCATTTTCTGTAACATGATATACCCTATTCAAACGTCTCGGTGATAGTGTTACGGTGCCGTATCAGCCTAGAGCTCCATTCGTAAAGGTCAGCCTGCCTCCTGCCAATGCCGGACTCTCCAGAGTGTCCCTTCATTATCGGGGTGCTTTCCATCCAGTTGCTCGTTAATCTGGAGCTTGGTTCTGTCGGTTTCTGCAAACAGTATGTCCTATGTCTCTTTGCTGGCCTTCCATGCTTCCGGTTTGTGGTTTGCATTTCTGTAGTTGGAGCTAAAGTTGGCTGTGTTGTTAGGAGTTTTTGATGGTATTAGAACGACAGTGACGGCTTCAAGATGGTTTAGCAAGCTAGTCGATTGAATATATAGTCGCGCTGTACCGTCTTGGCACTTATAGATGGGACCACAAATAAGAGGGGAGATTGTGTATAACTAGATAATACAAAAGAATGCTCACTCGAAAAACTGATAATCTTTTGACGCTCGAATACATATAACCAATTTGCTACATCATCAAAAGACCTCAAAAAGCATAAGCAGACCAAAATTCGTCAAAAAAAAAAATAAATCAGGACATAAGCGCTACGCCACAAGAGCCCCGCCTCGCAGGAAATAAAAGAAACAGGAACAACTCAACAGGGCGGGAACAGACAACATTCCAATCCGAGGGAAAAACAGGCCGAATTAAGGAAAATGCACGCCATCTATCAACAAGTTTTGCCCTACCCACTACACGATACAGTAGAAAGTATATAGGTCATATATTGGAATCATGACGGGAGGACCGTGGTCATAGGGGATGTCGAGGGGTTTGAGAGATAGGGAGGGGATTGGCTTTGGTATCTCTCTCTTTTGCTTCGACATGGTGGGCTTTTTCCCGTTCAATTTGTGCAGGAAATAGACATTTACAGCTTCTTGCCGCCGACGAAGTTGGACCAGGTGCGGACCTCGGAGGGGATCTCGCCGGAGCGGGGCAGCTTCTCGTTCATACACTGAGCGAAGAGAGTCGCAGTCTAGAGAATCAGTTAGTTATTTGGATCACTTACTATGTGGTTAGTGGTGGTTGTTTGAACGTACCTTGGGCTCCATGAAGAGGGGAACGCTGAAGTCGACAGCGTTACGGCGCATGACATAGTCCTCGTCAAGCTGGGTCTTGCCGCGGGTCTTGGCAAGGTTGAAGCAGCCGCGGATGTCGTACTTCTGGAAGACCTCACGGAGAGCACGCTTGTCCTTCTTGGGGAACTCGATGACCTGCACGGAGACGTTGTCCTGGGCAGTGGACTCGATGTGAGCCTTGACGTCGGGGTTGGCAGCGAAGAACTTGTAGCCGAGAGGGTTGAGGTACTCGACGATCTTGGCGAGGTGAGGCTGGGTAACGTCACCACCCAGAAGGATACCTTCACCGGGCTCGGGCATGCGGAAGTTCATGGTGGACTGAAGAGACGCCCAGTAGGCCTCGACGAGGTCCTTACCGAAGCAGGCAATCTCACCAGTGGAGGACATCTCGACGCCAAGGAAGGGGTCCGCACCAGCCAGACGGGTCCAGGAGAATTGGGGAACCTTGGTGGCGAGGTAGTCACGCTTCTCCTTCATGAGGTCAACGGGCTCGGGGACATCACGGCCGACGAGAGCCTTGGTAGCGACGTCGATGAAGTTGGTACCCAGGACCTTGCTGACGAAGGGGAAGGAACGAGAGGCACGCAGGTTGCACTCAATGACCTTGAGCTGGGGCTCGGCGCCCTCGACATCGGCCTTGATGATCTGCATGTTGAAGGGACCGGTGATGTTCCAGGCCTTGGCGACCTTCTGGGCAATCTCCTTGACACGGGCCATGATGGGCTCCTCCAGGTTGGCGGGGGGAGGACGAGGGTGGCGTCACCGGAGTGGACACCGGCGGGCTCGACGTGCTCAGAGACGGCGTGAACAAGAAGCTTACCGTTGGAAGCGACGGCATCAACGTCGATCTCCTCGGCACCCTCGATGAACTTGGTGATGACAACAGGGTGGTCGGGGGAAACGGCACTAGCGTTGAGGAGCTTCTCCTTGAGCTCATCGACGCTGTAAATGACGTTCATGGCGGCACCAGACAGGACGTAACTGGGACGAACCAGGACGGGGTAGCCGACAGACTCGGCGAAGTTCTCGGCCTCGGCAACGGAGGTAAGCTCCTTCCAGGCGGGCTGGTCGACACCGATGCTGTCCAAGATCTGGGAGAACTTGTGACGGTCCTCAGCCTTGTCAATGTCCTCGGGGTTGGTACCGAGAATGTGGGCACCACCAGTCTCCTGGAGACGGAGGGCAATGTTCTGAGGCAGCTGACCACCGACAGAGACAACGACACCGCTAGCGGCCTCGAGTTCGTAGATATCCATGACACGCTCGTAGCTGAGCTCCTCGAAGTAGAGCTTGTCAGCGGTATCGAAGTCAGTGGAGTAGGTCTCGGGGTTGTAGTTGATCATAACCGTCTTCTTGCCCATATTGCGGAGGGAGAGAGTAGCGTTGACTGCGCACCAATCGAACTCGACGGAGCTACCAATACGGTACACACCGCTACCAAGGATGATAGTTCCGTGGTCATCGAAGGTGACATCGTGCGAGGTAGCATTGTAGGTGGTGTAGAGGTAGTTGGTGTCGGCAGGGAACTCGGCAGCCAGGGTATCGATCTTCTTAACCCAGGGGGTGATGCCGAAGGACTTACGGCGGGCACGGACATCGTCCTCAGTGGAACCAACCAGGAGAGAGATCTGCTTGTCAGAGAAACCGAGCTTCTTGGCCTTCATCATGATCTCCTGCTTGATGCCGAAGAGACTACCGATCTCCTTGAGCTCGTTGTTGCAGTCGACGATGTTCTGGATCTTGTACAGGAACCACTTGTCGATCTTGGTCAGGTCGTGGACCTTGTCAACGGAGTAGCCCTCGTGAAGCATAGCCTGACCAACGGCCAACCAGCGGCGGTCGGTGGGGTTGCGGAGGGTCTCGTCGAGGTCCTCGAAGTAATCACCCTGGAGACCAAGGTACCTGGGGTCGACCTGACGGATAGCCTTCTGGAGGGACTCCTCCCAGGTACGGCCGATGGCCATAACCTCACCAACCGACTTCATGGCGGAACCAATGTCGCGGTTAACGTGCTGGAACTTGCTCAAATCCCATCGGGGAATCTTGGTGACAATGTAGTCCAGACTGGGCTCGAAGTTGGCAGTGGTAGTCTTGGTGACGGCATTGGGGAGCTCGGGAAGAGAGTGTCCCAGTCCAATCTTAGCCGCAGTGTAAGCGAGAGGGTAACCGGTGGCCTTGGAAGCCAGAGCGGACGAGCGAGACAGACGAGCGTTGACCTCAATGACACGGTAGTCGAGTCCATCGGGCTGCAGAGCGTACTGAACATTGCACTCGCCAACGACACCCAAGTGACGGACGATCTTGATGGCAGCAGTACGTAGCATGTGGTACTCCTCGTCCGACAGGGTCTGACTAGGGGCAACGACGATACTGTCACCGGTGTGAATTCCGAGAGGGTCGAAGTTCTCCATGTTGCAAACGGTGATACAGTTGTTGTTAGCGTCACGGACGACCTCGTACTCAACCTCCTTCCAGCCCTTGAGGGACTTCTCAACTAGAATCTGGGGAGAGAGGGACAGAGAACGCGAGGACAGGTCACGGAGCTCCTCGGGATTGGCAGCAAAGCCAGAGCCCAGACCACCAAGGGCATAGGCAGACCGGACGATGATAGGGTAACCAACCTGCTCGGCGGCTTTGAGGGCATCCTCGACAGTCTCGACGGCAGTCGACTCAGCAATGGGGATGTTGATCTCGTTCAGGGCCTGGGAGAAGAGGTCACGGTCCTCACTGGTCTCCAGGGTCTTGATGCTGGTGCCGAGGACCTTGACACCGTAGCGCTCGAAGGTACCCATGCGGTTCATCTGCACACCCAGGTTCAGAGCGGTCTGACCACCGAAGGTAAGGAAGATACCATCGGGACGCTCGCGCTCAATGACGTGAGTGACATATTCGGGTGTAACGGGGAGGTAGTAGACCTCGTCGGCGAGCTTGTGGTCGGTTTGGATGGTCGCGATATTGGGGTTGATCAGGACCGAGTGGACGCCGGCTTCCTTGAGAGCCTTCAGAGCCTGGGAGCCTATATCATCCGAGAGTCCAAGATTAGTTACTGCTATCGAAAGTTGTTTTGTTGGGGAACCTCTCTAAGCTGTCTGTATTCCCCGCAGAAAAACTTCGTGAGCACACTCCCCATCTATCCCCATGGGGAATATACACGGGAGCAAACGATCCAAGTGCAGCACAATTGTCACCAATTGATTCCAACGTACCAGAATAATCAAACTCGCCAGCCTGTCCAATGCTCAGACCACCACTACCAATGACGAGGACCTTCTTGACATCAACAAGGTCGCTACCGGTCTTCACCGCACCACTGGCGAGGTAAGACTCAGCAGTGGGAGGCTTCTCAATAGCCAGACGACGCAGGCTGCTGGAGAAAGAACGGAGCTGCTGAGAGCGAGCCGTGGGGATCTTCTGCAGACGCAGAGCAGAGGCCGTCGAGCGGACGGGAGTCTGGGAGGAGAATGCGCGCAGAGAGAGCCCGGGACGGGCTTCAGCGAGGCAGCGCTGGCGCAGCAGGCCAGCCGCCTGGCCACATCGAGCAGCAAGAACCATTGCGCACTGCACCGCTCGAGCGAAGAAGAAGTTCAATTGCGAGGGTGATGTGTAGGAGGTGAGTCTACACTTTTCTGGGATTCTTTTTTTCCCCCTCTGGCTCGCTAATTGGCTCGTACCCTTCACCGTACACGGCTCCACTTTACAAGATAGAGGCGCACGAGAGCTTCGATTGTGAGGGAAGAGAAGGAGAGGAAGTTGAATCTAGGGGATTGAATACAAGATTTAATATAAAAATTGGTTGGGGAGCCAGTAGTAATTTTTTCTTTTCTTTTTTCGTCGGATGAGTCAATCTAGAAGTGGAGCCAGGGACGACTATAACGCTCGGGGAACATTCTGATCTCCTATGACGTTGCTCTAACTATTCTATGAATTGAACATAAGTAAATAGACATCTGAGTCTCAATTTGAAAGCTACAAAGCAATTGGGAAGTTTGAACAAAATGCAAAGCTTGTGCGCGAGTATGATCTGCATGCCGATGCCGGACCTCAACGCTGTCTAGAGGGTGGACCTCTGCCTTTATCTCTCGACTTTAACGTCACAGAGATGGTGTAAATAGTAGGCTAAGGGCTAATGATGTGAAAACTCTGTCAATGGTCTAGGCTATACAGAGAATAGAACGAAAGGTTCTCTTTTAGCTAATTTACATCGAGTGTCAGAACAGTCCAGTCCTAAATTAACCCCAGACAAACTCATTTGCTTAACTTGACTACAAACCAAATGGACAAGCTTAATAGCCATTCATGCACACAGACTGCTATTCCACTATAATCGAACACTGGCATACGCAATTGAGTTTGATACTCGCTGCATGAAGATCCTCGTGATAATTTCGGTGCCGGCAAACTGCCGGTTGCCAAGACTTAACTATACGACCAAACATCGCCGAGCAACACAATGAAACAGTAGAATAACAGAGTAACAAAAGTCGAAGGGGTATATGAATTGCACCACTAGAAACAAGACCAATGCACATTATTCCACACCAACCCTTCCATTCAAGCCTGACCAAGGACCCTTCGGTCGCTTCTCGATGCGAGACCCACTAGCCTTCGGTAACCCTCTGGAGCGAGCTTCGGAGGTCCAGATATCTGACCCATCCCGCTCCCGTTCCTGGCCGTGCATGACCTCATCGAGGTCCTGATTGAGAATTCCATACACATCAGTCAGGGTCCTGTTCGCGTCTTGAGCAACTTCAGTACCCAGTGCAATTTTTTGCTGGACGAACTCTCGTTCGTTGGTGGCTGCGGCTTCAGAGGCAAACGCCCATGCTTCGGCGAGACTGAGGACTTCGTCGGTGGGTTGGTCTGAAGGTTGCGTCTGGGTTCGAGAACTGAGAGCAGCTACCGCGTGCTTGAAACGTGGCTGACGCGAAAGAACTGGATATTCAGGGAGCAAATGGGATTCGTCGCTGAGGCGATGGAGAGCTCGGAGCGTTGTGGACTTTTCCTTGGAGAGTAAGCCGGATAGGTAGGTTTTCTGGAGAGCCAGAGCCTTATGGCTTTTTGATAATGGCACCAGGTTTTCGCTTGCGTACGACAGCACATCGATTGGGTTTGGCGGTGGTATCTCCACTGTAGTGAGTTCGTTCTTGTAGGTTGATCTGGATGGAGGTTTGGGCGGCACGGTGGGTGGTTGGCATGCCTTGGATGCGGCATCGAGAAGCTCTCGCCGCGCCTGTACATATGCAGCGTACTGATCTGCAATCTGCATCTTGCGCTCCTCAAGCTCCCGCTGGACCTGCTCAATTTCCTCCGCAGGCAGGTCCTGGAGTACACTTTCATCCGGATCTCCCTGACCAACAAGCCGTTCCTCAACCCATTGAACTAGCTCATCGCGGGTCTTTTGTAAAGCTTGAGCTTTGACCTCAGGCGAGACTTCAATCTGAGACTTCTCTTGAGATGCATTCCGTGCCTTGGCTTTCTCGAATAGTTGCTTTTCGCGATCTAATTGAGCCCTAGCATGAATGACAGCCCTCTCGAGATTGTGAACGAGTTCATCCAAGTCCGTTTCGGAACCATTGCGACCCGCTTCAACCTCGGGCAATGGCGGTTGTTCCCCTCCATTCTCAATATCCCCCAACCCAACCTTATCTCTCGTCTTTAACTCCTCAAGGTAATGTTGAAACACTTGCAGCTTGGTATGTCGCCGGCGATCGCGTAGGAGGGTCAGGTATTCACGGAGTTCGGCACCGGGTTCTTGCTGATCTGCGTCATCAGCAGGGCGGGTTTGCTCGTTCCTCTGCCTTCTCAATGAGGAAACATTCTCAGAGGCTGCGGCAAAGTCCTTGCGAGCTGCAACATTTGCCGCCAACGCCTTCAAATAATCCCTCCGTAGTCCGTGTAGGTCGCTAGGGATGCGCTTCACCTCCGCGACGGCGTCAGTTGGCGCACACAGGCCGAGGTGGGATTGAGCGAGATGAGTCGATTGGTCTTCGTCGAATACGATGAATGATCGAAGATAAGACGTCAATGCCTGACGGATCTGACGGGCTTCCTGGCGGGATTTGATGTAAGGAGCGAGTGGTTTCACAACGGCTGGAATGTGGATAAGGGCAGAGTCGTTGGGTTGGACCATGGCTTTCATTGGCCCAGGAGACTATGTACACTTAGAGTAGAATCGGTATGAGAGACAAACTGAGACCCTGACCGGTCGGGCTTCACTGCCACAATATCGCGACAAAGCAAGTTGTTGTTTTGCTCCTTTGAGCAGGGGCTTACGTAAACTGTAGATCGTCGAGCTTATAGTTCGAATGTTTGGCTGCGAGGAAGTTGAACTTTCTATATTAAATGACGTTAAATAGTCCCTGCAGGAGATGATCTTCTTCCATTGGGCTCAAATTGCTCGATAGCTCCAAATGAGACATCCAATATGTCTTCATCGGGGTCCGAGCACTGCAATGTATAGAACCTGTCTACAAACTCCGTCTTATGGATATAGATCGACAGTGATATTCAAGTATTCACAAATAGTTTAATAAGTATCGGTCGTCATGATATGATATGCTATTGATATGCAATATGCAAATCCCTCATCCGGGATACGTCTTTACGGAGCTTCGGAATGTATGTACACAGGTACCTGCACCTGTACCTGTACAAGTTGATGCCGTCTATGCGCACGGCCCAATGAAGCAATAAACAAATGCTAAAGAGGCCTAACTTATGATTTCAGTCCGAAGTGATTCATCGCTTTTGATCCCATCTCCTTCTCCCTTCCTCGCGAACAACACAAAGTAACAACGACTTTGCGTCACCTGGGCTCGGGACCCCTCCATTACTGGTATGTTTCAGAGTCCTCCCTGGAATCCTCATCAAGGGGTATTTTGATTTATCACTGCCCCGATCTCTGACGTTGAGTTACGCATTGTTTATCGAAATGCTGAAATTGTTATATTCACTGGCGCCCGCTTCAGATGCCCCGGAACCCAATCCCCTTCAATCCGATATTCCCCGCCTAACGATGGCTCCCGATTTGAGCGCCGCGAATCCGTCTAGAACCAGACCCCGTGCCTCAACGACACTCCCTCCCGTAATGGCATCACAATCGCCGACCCCACGGCAACCAGTACAAGGACCGCATACGACACTGGCCTCTCTCCAGAATCCCGGGAGCCCACCGCTAGGCACGGGAGATTATGGGATCAAAAGTACAGCCCAGGGTAAGTCATTAGTGGGAGATACCGCTTATGCTCTTCTCCGGCTAACGGAATAAGGGCCATTGCGTCACCCCCAGCCGCTGACGCCTTCGGATCTCCATCTAGTGCTTGAAAAGGAACAGGAAGCAATGGTGAGTCGGGTCCCAGAGGCCCGAACTATATAATATCAAAAGGCTGACACATGACTCTCAGGTGAACCGATTGACTCGCGAACTTTCTCTGCTCCGGCACCAGACAGCATCCGTATCGTCGACAGCTTCATCTACATCCACATTCAATGAACCAGATGCCCGCGCATCACCCACCTTGAGCAATTCAGGCCGATCCCACTCAACACAACGGCACCGGTCCAATTCAAGCCTCAGTTCACATGCATCGGCGAGTCAGGTCCCTCAGGCAGCAAGTGTAACTGGCATTGCACCGTCCCGAGAGACTAGCCTGCCATCTCGAGCAGATCACTCCCGAACTGCTCGCAGTCGCGAATCCTCCCTAACATCTCGCCGACCATCAATCGGGTCATTAACCTCGTTTTCCCACAGCAATAGCAGTGTATATCCCCACCGAAACTCGGGCTCGCAGACACAGCTTGGGTATTCGCCGGCAACCCCACTGTCACGCTTTGAAGAGGCAACACAACACCGATCGGAGCTGGAATCCATCAAGCGGGAGAACGAGCAGCTCAGGAAGCGCGTGCGGGATCTGGAGCAAACACTGAAGAAGCAGAAAGGGGCAGTGCCGTCGGAGTCAACGAGTGATATCTCTGCGACACCCTCCGACGGAATTGCAGAGTAGTCCAACTCTCAATGTATCCCTATCATTCTTACGCGTCCATGGGGGCGCTTATTTTCATTTCGGGCTGGGAGTTTGCAGGCAAACACAGAAGAATCGAGAAACAGCTTCAGGCAGCTCAGTAAATTAAGCTAAAGCAAGAAATGAGACAAGATTAACTATGTGGCGGTGTAGGCCCCGCTCTACGTCACCTGTGGCGCAGTAGCTTTGGTCACTATATGTACAGCCCCTCAGATGGTGAGATCTTTTGGATTTCTTCATTCCTCTTTTCTTCCACCTTTTACCCTACCTGAAAACATGTCTGCTCCCGCTACCGTTCATGTCTCGGGCATCTCGCCCGCAACCTCCGAGAAGGAGGTTCGCGACTTCTTCAGCTTTTGGTATGACATAATGTCGCATAATTACAGACATTCACTGACTGTTCGAAATATAGTGGCAAGATTGTCTCTCTTTCCATCACTCCCGTTTCATCTGAGGCCGATGCCCCCAAGTCCGCTTCCGTGACTTTTGAGAAGGAGGCGTAAGCTACCCCGCACCCTGCTTCAAGCACAGTATCGCAACAGCCCGCCACCGAACCGACCCTCAAAAGACATAAGAAAACACTGAAAAACGCAGTTCTAACCCAATTTACCAGAGCCGCTAAGACCGCCCTCCTCCTGGACCAAACCCAACTGGGCACCTCCGCCGTGCACGTCGAAGCTGCCCACAACATCGACGAGCTCGCCGGCCCCAACGCCACCACTGCCGACACCAAGGAAGACGAGAACCATATCGCACAGGAGGACAAGCCCCGCTCGCGCATCATCGCCGAGTACCTGGCCCACGGCTACGTAGTCAGCGACAACGCCATCACCAAGGCCATCGCCCTTGACCAGAAGCACGGCTTCTCCAACCGGTTCACCTCCGCCCTGAGCAACTTCGACAAGAAGTTCAACGCTACCGAGCGCGCCAAGGGTCTTGACGAGAGCTACCAGATCACTAACAAGGCCACCACCGGCTGGCACGGTCTGAGCTCGTACTTCGAAAAGGCGCTCGAGCACCCCACCGGACAGAAGCTGCGCGACTTCTATGCTCAGACTGATAAGCAGGTGCGAGATATCCACAACGAGGCCCGTCGCTTGGCCGACTTGAAGCAGGGTAAGAGTGGTGAGGCCGAGGGCTCCGCTGCCTCCCCTGGAATTCCTACTCCTGTTGCTGCTGAGGGTGCTCCTGTTACCCCTGCTACCGCTCCTGCTTCTGAGTCTATTGCTGCTGTTCCTCCTCAGGAGCCTAAGGCTTAGATTTATTAAGAAGGTCGGGGTTAAAAGTGAATACTTGCGCTGGGCTTGCTTCCTTCGTGTCTATTGCTTTTATTATTCCCCTTTTTATGATGCCATGCCATAGTTGACTTTTTTTCTTTCGCGTCTTCGATGATAACCATTTTTCTGGACTTGTTTCGTGAGAGCGAGCTTTTGCTTGCGTCGTGATTCGGCTTTAGTTGATTACCCCTTGGGTATCTCAATGAAAGCAAACGAAAGGACATAAGAAATTCACTTCATACTGGATGTCTACTTGCACGAGCGTAGCTATTCATTAGAATAGACTATTGTTCACACTGGAGGTGTAGATATGCTCAACAGATCAATTTATCCCATAAACAGGAAATATTCTCATGATATCATTATCCAAAATTCAACACGCCCTTATAATAACATTGTGTAAAGTACAAAAAGCCCATTTAATCATGTTTTCCCTTCACGTACTTATCCGCCTCAATCTTTTCCAGCGGGTGCACGGGGTTACTTGTCAGACCGTGAGACTGGAACTCATCAGCGGCCTTCTTCGTCTCCTCGGATGATGGGTGGCTGCCCATAGATGTCCTGCCAGTGCCAGGAGTGTCGTTCAGCTGGGCGCCGGATTGGCGCTCCGGTTCGGGAGATTGGCGGCCGGGATAGGGGGCAGACATATTTGTGGTGGTAGTATTGATGTAGGATGGATGTGCTAGGCCGGGGGAACTGTGTTAGCTGAGTGTTCTTTTGAAAATGATTTGGTAGTGTATAGGTAGACGGTTGGGTGGCGATGTATAGATCAACGGAACTCACATTCAACGGATAAAGTGTATCAATTGAATTAAATTGAATGACTGAATATGTGCTTGTTCAGATGAGTAGATTGAGACTGATTCAAGCTGTGGATGCAGTGCTCAGTTTCTTATAAGATAGAGGAGCTCCATCTGACGTTACCAAACCGGTCTATCTTCATCATGATGACGTTGCCGTGAAGCGTCTCATTGGATTGTGCTCCAATTGTTTGAGCGCCTGTGAGTATAGCCTTGGTGCCTTGTATTTCACTTGGTTACCTCGATCTGCTTTGGATTGTTGGGATATTGCCTGTAGTTGGGGTATCTATTATTGTTGTGGTGATATTGGCATTTTGTTTGCGACGCCAATTGCGGCCATGACAACATATACATTAATGTGCTGTCCTCCTTCCTAAAAACTATATTATCGTATTAAAGAGGGGCTAATTACAAGAATAATTTTAATTATGACCGAAATAGAGGGAAAATGCTACTGCTAGACATGATCTTGGCGGATAAGTGTACCTATTTGCCACGGTGGCCGCAAACTTATGCGGTAGATATTGGTCTAATCTACCACCCTTATAACGCTGCGATGTGATTCCTCTACACCGAAATACCCACAGGGAATGTGCATGTATTTCTAGGTTAGGATGATTGAATAAACACAAGGATCTGACTGCTCGTATACCGCGTACATCACATTTGCCGGTGTTTGAAAATATCCACCGTCCTCGGTGACCCATACAACGAAACTATGTGGATCCAACTCCCTGTCTGATAGGCTTTCTACGTAACTACAATCCAGAGTCTAATAAATTGAATCCAACATTTGTAGCATGGCTGATGTACTATATCATGGAGAATAATGAGGTCTTCTGGGGAATCTGTGCAGCGAAGAGGATTAGGACGGGGGAGAAGAAAAGGGGGATAAGATGTAGGACTTTTGTGTGAGTACATCAGCGGGGGCGTGACAGGGAACGGAAAGAGAGAAAAAAGGCAAAAGAAAAACGGAGATGGCAGAGGACGATTGGGGGGACATGATCTAAAGAAGCGGGAAAGACATGATATGGGCATATGGTCTCGTGAGGAAAATGCAGGGGAAACAGAAAACCAGTAACGAGACATTGACATGGGAAAATATTCACACCATCTCGGAAATAAATTCTCTTAGTTGCCATTCTGCATGCCCGCTGCAGCGGCGGCCTCTGCGTTGGCAGCGGCGACCATGGCCTTGGCGTCGGCTTCGTGGAAGACACCTTGGATGATCTGTTGCTCCTCGGGGCCGAGGACCTTGGTCAGGCTCTCGTAGAGCTGGGGCTGCTCTTGCTGGAGGTCTAGACTTATGTTAGCAGGTTGAAAAGAGTGGTTGATGTGGATCACATACTTAGCAAGACATGCTTGAACATGCCATATGGCTCAACCTTGTCCAGAGGGGTCTCCAGCAAGCTTTCTTCATCCATATCATCGTCGTCATCGTCGGCGAATGAGCCGAACTTCTGCGCCTCTTGGTTGAGGAAGTCGAGGTAGGCAGCGCTCTCGTCGGCGACATCATCGTCAAGGGCGGCTTCGACTTCATTTTCGTCCCACTCAACGTCACCATCCCAGTCGTTCTCCTCGTCATCGTCATCATCTTCGTCGTCGAGGGTGAAGTCGGATTCCTTGGTGGCATCCTCACGTTCTATATTATTGATTAGCTTTGAAAGTCCTGGAGTCGACAATGTGTGAGGTTGAAAGACATACGCTTCAATGCAGCAGGCAAGGTCTGGAAAAGTCGTGTCACACCCTGCAACAGTCTCGGCCATCCTTGCTGGACGCTAACAGGGACGTCACCGGCCGGAAGAGTAAGGAGCGAGCTGATAGCAGCAATCGACAGCTTCTTGTCATGCACACGGCGGAAGTTGTCGATGTTAGCGAACCAAGCACTGAAGAACTTGTTGGTCCAGCCCTTAGCCTCCAAAACCTGAAGACTGAGAGCGGAGTTATAGTAAATTGCGTTGATGACCATCTCCATAAGGTGGATGCGGTAAGACTTGGTGCGTGCCTCGCCGGCATCAATGACCCGCATAGCCATCTCAATGAAGAGCGGGATGTACTGGTCAATGTGTCCACGAAGGTTAAGCATCAGGGTTTCAGCAAGCTTGCAACCGCAGATGCGGTCAACACCACCGACCTTCTCGTCGGCGAAGATGTCCTGCACCATACCAACAACGGCATTGAGGTAGGCAGGATTCTGGACCAGCATCTCGGAACCGTAAGCGACATAGTTGTCGAGGGCGGGGAGCATATCTTCAAGGTAGAGCTCGGCACCAGCCTTGAATGTCTTGTGAATCAGTTCGAACGCTTGCCACATGGAAGCAGAAATGGTCTTGGATGCAAATGTGCAGCTGTCAATAATCTCGAAAATCTCGTTATAGAGATCATATAGCTTGTTCTCCAAAGTGATACTGATGACGGGCATCAGGATAGTCTCGAGGTGCAGGAGCACATCGGGGGTGCTCTCGAGAGTGAGGATGAGGGTTCCAATGGTCTGCAGAACACCCAATGCGGTGATGCTCTTGTCATCCAGGAAATCACCATAGCCATCCTCATCACCGCCCTTGGAGGCATTGCGCTCCAGGAGCTCACCAACAATACGCATATAAGTATCGCGAAGCTGCTCGCTCAGCGCCACGGCGAAGGGAGTAAGCTCAGCGGAGAAGACCTCAACGAAGTCCTCCATGACGTTGGCCAGAGCATCTACGTCGACCTCGTTGGCGAGCTTGAGAAGCTGCTGCATGATCTGGGGGATGTTCTGCTGCATCGATGTGCGAATAACGTCGTGACGAATAAGGGGCTGCAGAGCAAGGGCGGCCTCAACACGCACGGGCAATTCGGGATCGGTCATGGACTCGAGGATGTTTCGGTAGATGACCATCAGGTTGTTGGGATCCTTGAAGTCGAGCTGCTCGAATTTCTCCAGGGTATCGCAAGCACGAGCGCGGAGGAAGCCGTGGGGGCTGCGGAACTCGGGGAAAACGTGACGGACGAAGAAGTATTCGACCTGATCCGCAATGGGGCTCTTCTTACCCAGAATGACCGAAGCCAACGAGCCAATCATTCTCAAAGCACCCTCCTTTTCACGAGGCTGCTTCTGGTCTTCCGGTGCGGCCTCGTACTTGCTGACAACACTGTTAACGAAAGTGAGAATGGAGAAGGTCTGCTTCTTGCGGTTCTTGGTTAGGGAAACCAGGAAGTTGGTGGCGGCCACATCAGGAGCGGAAACTTCCTCGTAGAAGTTCAGCTTGCGGTGGAGATACTCAGAAGGATCATCCTCGAAAAGCTCAATATCCTCATCTGACTGGCACAAGATGGGGAAGACGAAATGGGCGATAAGGTTGTCCATGTGCGGCTTCAGGTGGTCCCACATGGCCTTGGGCTTGACACACTCCTCCATAAAGACCAGGGTATATGAAAGTGCGGAGTTGCTGAGCCATTGCGACTTGGAAACCCACTTGTCGATCTCCGTCAAATATCCCTTGAGGATTTCGGGGGCGAATGTGCTGATAAAGGTCTTCGCGTACGGTGTGTAGTCGGGGGTGGAGGATTTTGTGATCGTAGTGGGGTTGCCGTATCTGAGTTTGAAAGTCAGTAAAAGCCGTTGCAGACCGGTTAAAAGGACCAACTGTATCTCACCTGATAAATAGACGGTTGAGGTTGGCGTATGACCACTTCTTGCACTTCCACCAGTGGTTCATTTCCCGGTCTTCCTTGGAATCTCCCATAGCGTTCGCGGGGGGCGTCTTCGAGACGATTCGCAGGAATAGTGTGCACCAGTCCACGGTGGCCTGGTGGGTCTGTAAACAAGGAGAGAGCTCGAACTACATCCCAGTTAGTCAGTATGGTTGGCCAGGTTGCGCGCATGGGAACACCCACGTAGATTGCATGCTTGAAAGCCTTGACCACAATACGGAGCATCTCCGCGGCCTCCAGACTCTCCTCATCCACGAGCTTCGATCCAATGCTGAGCAGCTGGGGGAACGAGTGCTCCACAATTTTGTCGAATTCCTCTCGCTTCTCGCCGGCCTTGAATCTATACACCCGGCAGACTGCCAATAGACACTGCAGACCCGCATACACCGTACTTGCGTCATTGGTGCCGAGGAGCTGAAGAGTAAGATCCAGGAACCCGGGCCACTGCTCGGGGAAGTCATTTTGCAGGATCTTCTGCAAAAGGGGAACCAGCTGGTTGCGAACATTGGGGGGTGTTGATGCCAGGGCAGGGATAAGGCGTTCCCTGAATCCGGGCTTCTCAGCCTCCGGAATTGGCGTACGCTGCGGGCTATCTTCGACGGGGGCCCATCCGCGGGTGATGCGGTTCTTCAGGTAGACACCAGCTGTAAAGGAGAAAATGAGCGGGGTCGATCGAAAGATTGTAAACAGTTTCACGCAAGGGCGAAACGGTCAACGACATACCAGAGAGCTGAACGGCATTGTTCTGCTCGCCTTGCAGGATATCCAGAAGTGCATTGATAAACCCTGGCTGCGTCTCGGCCTAGATATACCACGTGTGAGCCTACCGTTTGCCCCGCTAGTAGTTTCCAGCAACATACATATTTCAAATCCTGCTCCGCCTGTTGGCGAATGTCTGCATTCGCGTCTAGAGTAGACTGAATGCGGTCTCGAAGGGCTGTAACATCCATCGCGCAACAATCCCCCAACACCAGAAAGTCAATAAATCTCCAAATAAACGAGGAACCCCGGGGGGGGAGCGCGGACCGGCGCCGTTGAGGGAAGGGAGGCCGGGAAAGAGTCAACAGATGAAAGGACGAGGGTGTCCTAGAGAGATCTTGTGGATCTTGAAGAGAGGAGGAAGAAAAGGTGAAGAGGGGGGAAAGAATTATCTT